GAGGCAATGGAGCTTTTTCCCTTTTCTTTCTTCACTTTGTAGAATGGGAAACTCTTTTTGTCAGAGAGGATCAGGACAAGCTCGTCTTCACTGGATGATACTGAAGACATCATATTTTTCCAAAGAATGATCTGGTGCGAGTCTATTTGAGACTTTTATCGTACAAGTTTTGCAACTGTTGCAAAGTTGCGGCTGTTGGAAATAGATTTGATGTGAAATATTTGCAGGCCTGTATTTCACATTTTCACGTTTTTATCTGTCACAGCCCCGCTGGGTAAAGACAGACACGTGTTTTGTGTTTGTAGGATGCTAATTAAAAGTGTTGTCACCGTCATGAAATGAGAAGAACGGACAAATATTTTGTCAGTGTTTCTGAACAGAGAGGCCCTTTTTTATTTTTGTTTCGATAATGTAAAGTATGAGAAACCTTTACTAGAGCTGGTCGATCATTTTAATATTATCAATCATTGATTTTGATTGGCAGCTAATATTGTTTTTGGACTGTTAGACAAATCCAACAAGATGTAAACACATGCTTTGGGTTTTGGGAAACTGTGACACTGTAGTCCAACTTTGTGATTTGTGAATATGGGCTATACAAATATATAACGGTGCACATAGACACTGCTTCTGAATGAGCATGTGTGTGTGTGTGTGTGCGTGTGTAGACGGTATGGGTGTGTGCGTGCGCTCTGTTTTGCTGACTCATCCCTCGTGGCCACTCTCCTGTCAGTGACCACACTCAGGGCGCTGAGCGTGCACAGATTCAGGGGCTGGCAGAGGTTTTAGTGTGTGAGTGATTGTCAGCTGCCAGCAGCGGTTTGTGCTGAGGGAACAAAGAAGAGGAGAAGTGTCTTCTCTAATTCATCAGCAAAAACCTCGGCACCACTGTGGTGCCTGTATATTCATGCACAGGATATCACCACGCTGGACAACTGCATGTGTGATTTACTCACAGATGCTCTGTGTTAACACATGGGCCTTCCACAGCATCAACTGAAGTTAATAAGTTGTGGGAAAGTATATACGTAACACATAGAAAACAAATGTGTATGGGAACTTTTTGAGTGTTTATAAATTAGCACATTGCACACAGTGTGCTAATTTATATGCAAATAAACAGCTAAGATAAATTTAAAAGGACGTGGCTACAGCTGATGATTGTGATATAATTCCTTTTAGACATGACTTAGTTTTAGAAGAAAAGGCAGCTTGATGCCATCTGTGGTACTTATATCTTCATGGTCTTTTGACTGAACATTTGAAGTGAATTATTTTACTGCTGCCAAATAACTGGACCTGAAATTCAAAAGGAGGTGGTGTTAAATAACAACAATCCTCTCAGGGTTTTCCATTCAACAATAGTTATACAACCAAATATTATCTCACAGCTGATAAAGTATCTTCATTTAACCCTAGAACAGGACTTTATCAAGTAATTTATAAAAGAACTGAAGGTATCTTTGTTTTCGCACAACTCCAGCTCTGTGATGACTGCGTCAAATATATGCAATTTCAAGCTACGCTCTTTTACCCAGCATTCTCTGTGAAGCGCCTGAATTGATCTTTACCGGGGGAAATCGTGTTAGAGCAAGTCAGAGTTAGGAGTGTGTGTTGTGAACCAGGGAGGTGACGGGAGGAGAGCGCTGCTGGCAGAATCCAGAGGAAACAGGAGCTAGTTGAAGGAGTCGGATGACGGCTGAAGCGGAGAGCATGAAGACACGGTGGCTGAGCTGACGTGGCTCTGCAGACCGCGGCATTAACATCCCGATGGCTGCTTCTAAACGCATTATTCAGCATCTTTTTGTTTTTCCTTTCATGACCGACCTGATGGTGTGCTCATTTTCCTCCTGATGAAACGTCCAAGTATTGACAGAAACACTTTCAACTGTGGAAAATACAAACCAAAATTATGTTGAGGACAGTGTTGTAACCACTGAGGGGAACGCTGATGGAAACTTTAAAAACAGGCTTCTGCACCACTTTATCCAGATACTGGAGGTGAAAGAGACATACTAATGCAAACAAGCAAATCTCTGCTGGCTCACGCAACATGTGGGATTTATTGCACCAATATAAAATGTCAATTTAAATTCTATTCAACACTGTGCAAGTCAGCAATTGTTTACAGCATTCAAATAAACAGAGAGAGACAGCATAAACAAGGTTTCCATGAAGGTTTTCCAACGTCTTTGCTTTGTCTGAGAGTCTAATGATTCAAGATGCTGTCACACCAGCCATAGAAGTGTAAAAGGAATTTCTGCAAAGCTCGACTGAAAAGAGAAAGTTAGGCAATAAATAATATAGTCAATGAATATTAAAGACAGAACTTTAATAACAAAATAAAATATGCATGAATAGAATATTTACAGCTGCCGTGATTCACAAATGTGGTCGTGACCAAAAGGTTGCAAGTTCAAATGTGAGCACGGTGATCATTTCTTACACTGGGGTGAACAGCAGCAAGTAGCTTCTCCATTCAGTTGAAGGAAGGGCTCTTGCTGAATGTTTGTACACCCTGGCAGCAATTATCCCAACAGCAATGACTTGTATGAACTTGTTAAAGCTTAGGAAATCAGTTTGCAAGGCACTGCACCAGTTTAATTAACACTCAAAGCAAGGTTGAGTGTTCAAGAGTCCTTTCTTGTGTGGAGTTTGTATGTTTTCAAGTGTCTTGAAGGGGTTCCTCGTGTCGCTCCATTTTCCTCCCACTGTGTTAATACTTACAGTTTTACCCTCAACTGCCTTTTGAATGGCTGTCTGTGTGGCCCCTTAGGCTACATCCACACTACTACCTTTGTTGTTTGAAAACCGCTTATGTAATAACTCATTTCCTAAGCATGTAAGCAGTCATGTCATTGTAAAATACAGAATTTAACTGCACACAAGCTGCACTCGTAGTCGAGGCTAATGCAAAGACACAATCAGCAAGTGGTTGTGAGTGTCCTTGTTTTTAAACATCACTGTTTCTGCCCGTCCAAACCAAAACTTGAGCCCAGAGTTTTCAAACTAAAACAGAGCCAGCAGCGTTTTCAAAACTTCCTGATTTAGCTGCTCTAAAACTTCCAAGGAGTGTAGACGATGCACTTTCACGCAAAAACTGAGCAGTATGGATGTAGCGTTAGTTCACGTGTTGGGTTCAGGCTGAGGACTCCAGTGAACGTGGAAAGGATAGGAAAGTAGAAATGTGTGTATGTGTGTTCTGAGTGAGTCTTTATGTTTGCACTTACCTGTTCTACTGCTTCTGGGCTGCAAATTTATCTATTTATCAAAACAGCAACTTTCCGTCATCGTGCCTCAGTTGTGTCCGTGCCCACAGCTTGTGATCTAATCAGGTGCTTCCTCCGAGCCTGTCAGTGTGTGTTCGTCCAGAATAAAAGGGCATCTGGCTTTATTGTACATCACCTCAGCTGTGTGTCATGGAGAAGTTTCCACCTTCGTGTTCTCCTGTGACGACAAGCAGGGATCTTATCTCTGCTCAGCCTGGAGGACCTGTCCCTCGTAATCTCAGCAGGACAATGGCGCTAAATTGAGAGAGCAATTAACACGGGGCTGCTTATCTTCTATCGGCCGTGTGGCGCATGGAAAGGCTGAATTATTTATGTGCGTTACGTGTTTTGACATTTCAAATCTGTGTGGAAAGTGGATGTGATTGATGTCACCATAGAGACTGAGTGTGTTTGTAGAGTCTGAGGCCTGATCGATGTGAGGATCAGCTGTGTCACTTCATGACTAATAACCTTTGTAATATTTTGCGTCTGCAGCTTCTTATTAACACAAAGAATCATAAACACATTTCTATCCTTTATTCTTGAAACAAACAAAATAAACCATAACATACAACTGTCATCCGTTAAACCAAAACATCAGCTGACGCTAAAAACATTCTGTGAAACTGCAGAACGAGGTAAAAAAAACACCTTGGGAGTTTCTCATTTTCTCCCTTTGTTATTATAAAAATATTGAAAAGTGAAGCTCCACTGGGTGCATCAGCTGTAGCCCTCCATGTATTTTTACATTCACTTTCTAGAAACAAATGCAAACACGAAGTCTTGAGTTACAGGTTGCACAGATAGACACGTGCCACGTATTTTTGGAGATCTATACATTTATATTTTTCAAACAGTTGATTAGGTCTGTCATCTCATTGCTTTGTCTTGTGGGGAATTAAAAAGCTTCTTATCTCCATAATTGGATGCATTTCCTGTAAGGATGTTTGGGCAAAGCACATCAGACAGTTTGAACGTCTAAACCCATGGGTTCAGTTTACGGAAAGAAGACGTGCTCATTTAGTGTTGGGGGTATTTTACTAATTAAAAATGTAATTTACATTCCTGATGCAACTTCCTGCTTTCCAGAAAGGAAAAAAATAGGCTTTGAAATGCAAATGAGATGCTAATGTTTTTTTGTGTAAATCATGAATTTCTCATTTTGATGCAAATCCCAAACTGGTGTGATACTAAAAGATGATTTCTGCTCTCTGTCTTTTATCTGAATCATCGGAGTTTATCACTTCACTTGTGACAAAGGACTGGGGCTGAACTTAGCATTCTGACTTGTAGCAGGGGCCTCTACGGGTTAACATGTTGTCTCAATGTGTTTACTCTGTAGACTAACAGTGGGGATAGGGTCCAGAATTAAAGATATCGCATGGTTTGATAGATTCAGAAGAAATTGTACAGTATATAATTAAATATAACATGGCCTCACAATTCCAGAGTTTTGCACATGAATTAAAAAAACAGACTTACACTTACATGCCTGTCTGCCATATTCCATGTTTATTTACTTGTTGGTCTGTATTTAAAAAGTGCTTCTCTAGTCTTGATGATCGCTCAAAGCGCTTTACAGTTTTTGTATTTTTAAAGAAATTGAACTCTTTTAGCTCAGTGTCCTCTCAGTTAATCCACTGAAACTAAAGGTAGAATTTTTAAACTGTGCTGTTTTTGTGTGTGTGTGTGTAACAAATTAATAAAAATTGCGTATGGGCTGTTTTCCAGGCTGCATGCTGTGTTTTGGCCAATCAAACTTCTTCCGCTTCAACCACCCTGAAGAGGCCTTCAGGATGAAGAGCATGATGCCACACGGAGGAAGCGTCTCCACCGGGGACTACAGAATATGTGCAGGTAATTAATCAGGCACTAATGTGCATCCTTTTCTGCCTGTTTTCACTCAACAGCTCCAGCCCCAAAAAGGCCAAGTATGAAAAAAAAACCACACACTGAGCTTTGTCACATTAATAAGAAAGAGCGTTTCTCCTCCTGATTTCTGGTTTCAGTTCGGCCTTGTATGGATGAATGGCTGAGATTGTTTTTCCGGAGGCGAACAGGTTGGTGTTGAGGTGGAGCTGCAGGGTTGTTGCTTGCTGTGCAGTAAACCCTGAACATTTCCCCCTTTTTTTATAGCCCGGGCCAGAGCAGAGGTATCAGCAGCTATTAACTGTCCAAGGGTATTCATTTGTTGATAAACAGGCAGTGGTGGATCAAGGATTTTTCAAAATCAGGGGCCATAGAGGGGCCACAATTTACACAGAGGGGCGTATGTCCTACATCCATGCACACAGGAGCGTTGTTGTGGGTATCAGCATTTTAAATGCAGCACCCGTTGAACTCTGAAGCCTGAAGGGTGCCCAGCTGGGACCTGGTGCTGGAGTTCACACCATGCATGTTTTATGAGCATCTCATTCCTCTACGTCTCCAGGCAAAGTTTTTAGCTGCATGTCTACGTGTGTGTGTGTGTGTGTGTTTGTGTGTTGTGAATGTTCCTCCTCACAGGCTCGCAACTATAAGTGTATCTTTTCTTGGCCAGCTCCACTGGCAGGGATCTGCCATGGCATTGTGTCATTTCCCTCCTCCTACCGTTGATGCTGCCTGCCACCGGGGCGCAACTACAGCACGCAGTCATGATCGCCGGCTCCTGTGTCCTTCCTCCCCCGCTAATGAAAGCCTTCCGTTGTTTAGAAACGTACCATTTTCCTCAATTATGCATTCCTGAGCTGCATCCAGATGAAGACTGCTTATACCACTCCCATGATAAAGACGGCATATAGTCATATCTGCTCTGAGAGACTTCGAAATTACACTTGTTATCTGTGTATGACATCGTTAACCAGAGTTTTATGAAGGAAAACCCATCTGAACCCAAACGACCTCCATTGTCAGATGAGGATTAAACATTTCCCAGCTTCTCTGTCTAAAATAAAACTTTGATATTAATTTATAATAAATGTACATTAGCAATGAGGCATTATGCAGTAGTATAGAAGTATACGAAGTAGTATGACTAGATGTTTCTGCTCCGTGCTGAAATTAGCTGAAGTCAGTAGTTGGCACGATGGATTAGAGCTTCATTGTTTCCTTTTTTATCATCGACAATTAGATTTTATGGCATCACAGATTAATCAAAGTTTTCTATTAACTTTTATTCTATTACCTTGTATAAACATAATATTTAAGTTATTTAATAATACAAAATTACAGAATTACAACTGACGGAACAAACTGAAACCTTCAGCACAGTAGTAGACCTTGAAGTAAGTACTCAGCTACATCCACACTATGTTTTTGTTTGACGATGTATGAACTCTGCTGCAGATATACGCCTGGTGTCCACACTGCTGATTGGGTAGTATTAGCCTTTACTGATTCATCAGGCTCCTATCACATGACCCCCTGCCGGGAAAAAAAACGTCATTAGCTTCGGCTACCAGTGTAGAACGCAACATGAATAATCCATTACAAGCGTTGCAGAACCTGTTGGTGTTTCCTAACATCTGTTGTGCAGTTAAATCCTGCATTTAACAATGATACAACTGTTTATTCTGCAGGAGAGGAGCTGTAATTTGAGAATTTGAGAATCTGTCACAATTCTGCAACTAACCTTTAACAGCAGCACTCACACGCCCAGTGTACGTGAGTCGTCACGTGATTATGTGTTTTCTGGTGTGTTAGTATGGGCTGAGATTAAATACGATACTCTAACGAAAACTTAGTGGGATATGGTTGTAGCCTTTAAGTGTCAAATGTGTTTAGTAAGATAGGAGATCAGGTTTATTACACATTGGTTATGAATAATGAAATAGAAGAGGTCATGCACCCTGAGTCCAGCAGTGAGTTAAGTTAGGAAAAGAGGAAGAAGAGTCCCGTCAGTTACTTTTAAATGATGATGTGTGCAGACACCGGGCTGAAGTTGGTTTGATAATCACTAGCACATGTTGTACCACAGAGTCTGCATACATGTGAAGTTGCTGTGAAGTTTGTGTTGACACTCTCCTTGTGTGTCAGACTTATCAAAGTGTACACACCAGCTGTGATAAAGATTAGGTGACTCGTACATAAAGGTACATTTGCGTAAAAATTAGTTTATCTACTCTGCATCTGTCCTCCTCCTGTGTCACACAGCTTTGCGGTGCCTCACTGTACCTTCGTGATGCCGGTCACGTTCACCTGTCTGTTGTTTGGTTTTGGTGAGCTTTGCCAGGTCAGTGACGGGTCCAGTGACCAGCTGTCTCCAGCCAGCTGTCTTGCAGCTCCCACCTCTTCACTGATTGGACGTTTCCTGTGCCTCTCTGCCAGGCCAGCAGACGGCTTTGTGGCGCTGAGCTGTTTGCTTAAAGAGGCCAAGGGCTGGGGTTACAGTATCTTTCTCAGAAACTATTTATAAACCTCCAGTTTCATTCTACTGTCTGCCACCTCTGCACCGTCCCTCCCTGGGTTTCCCCCTTCAGTTCCCTCTGCACCCCCCACCTGCCCTCTGCATGTTTGCGTCGTCCACCTTCTGTCTGTGTTGGATGGCTGTATCCTGCGAGGGCTCGACAGTGTGTGTTAAGCAGAGCTGCCGACAGCGCTGAATGTTTGTGATGCGGTTGATTGTTATTGTGGTAACTCTATTATTCATTATTCATTTTAGATTTTATTACGCAATAAAAACAACGGGATAAATAATATAAATACAATACAACAGAACTGGATTATTGAGGACAACAAGAGACGTCTGTACCTAGTTTACCACTTTATTTTCCCTTTATTTTCAGTTTAGCACCACATTTTAATTCCAGATGGAAATAATGGATCAACAAGGTCTCTATTTTAGGATGTGTTTGCTTTGTTTTATTCAGAATTGTATATGAAAAAGCATAGGTACGGTTTCACATAAATACTATGAAATAATTGTTCTGCATTTTAGTTTTTGACAGCACTCTCTGAAAACTGAATGTTATTGTTTAGACTGTTTCATATTTTATCTAATTATACTACAAACATGTGTTTAAATGGTGGCAGGATATAATTAAGTCAGTTTCTCAAGTATTTTCATGTCGATCTATTTTATGCCCAGATAAAGCTTTTAAAAATGTTCCTTCTTCAACCTCAACTGCGGTAAGATTCTGCTTACACACACATAATGATCCACTTATGCAACATATAAAAGTATAGCAGTCACATGGCCATTTGTTTTTTGCTTTACAAATGCTTTTAATTCTCAATTCCATTTTGTAATAATACTTTAAATTTATGCGACATGAATTTCTCTTGATCTGTTGAACTTCCTCCTCCCTTAGTTTTGGTGCGTGTCATGAAAAAGTTTTCATGCAAAGAAAAAGAGGGTTACGGTCAAATAAAATATGGTTGCGGCTTCGGTTGTTATTGTAGGCTGTGTGTGTGTGTGTACAGACAACTTGACACACACGCTCTAAACACAGTGTATTTAAAGAAATCCACTTCCAGAACTCTGTCTTGGTTTTCTTCACATTTTTCTTTACTTGCAAGTTGTAGGAAGTAGGCGTTCATTCCTGTTTAAGCTAATGTTCTGTCCTTATGATCAGACCTTA